TCTGAGTAGAAACATAACTTCAAAGAACAGAAGAACTTAGAAATCGTAGACGATCTCCCGTACTACCTACATGTCTATCGCAGCGCCCATATCCACCTAAAATCGAACTGTACAGCAGAGAATAGCACTCTCAGATGATATCACTTTCGCTATGACACAACTTCGTACAGTCCACACATAGACCAAATAATACACTTGACGATCTCTCCTACCATCCTTCGCTCGTCAAACGGAGCAACCTACCTATAAAGACTCATTCATGCGATCGAGACAATAGTTTTGCAAGTTAAATGATTCATCACCTGTCACTAAATAAGGAACATAACTAACGCATCGGTTAACTTACTACTCATTCGAATACTCTCGCACAATTAAGCAATTTCTAATCCCAACTTGTCAACTTCCATCTATTACTATTTTACAAAAATTCTTTAATCGTATCAAAAATTTATTCTACACTCCGAATGTCACCTCCGGATTACCGACCATCAAATGAAAAAGGCTTTTCCGACAACTGTTTTATTAACAAAAAAGACCAGATACACATAGACTCCTCCATCATATAATAGGAACTTATTTAAAAAGACATTAAAACTTTAACGGAAAAATGACTTTCTCTGTGAGCGAGTTAATAGAAACACGACATTCCACTTTAATCTAATAGATGACCCTAAACAACGTTTAATAAAAACAACAATCATATCTACTAAAAATTACTAATGGCACAAGACTTCCGCACCGCTTGTCTCAGTCGACAGGGCACTCTATTCTGCGAACTACCAGCGACTCCACTATCCTATATGCGCATCTATTCTGACTCGCGACTACGTCGACATGTTGGCACCACCATCCACACCACTCCGTGCAAGTATATCCTAGACTACTGAGGTCCAAGACCGCCAGCATCCAATATCCACCACTCTACTACCCATCCCACCCTATACCACACTGATTTACATCACAACTATACGCTGCCACACGCTGCTCTCTCACACTTGCGCTGTATCTAAATCGACTCATATACATCTCCATCAGCCACACAAACTCAGTCACCATATATACGCCTAAGCCTGACTCATGATGCATCACCATCCACTCCTAGCCCGCGCTATCATACGCCTATACCTCCCACAGCAAACGATTTTCGCATATTAAACACTCTACTCTGGCTATAACACTCCACCTGACCCTGCCATCACACTTGATATATCGATTACATCTCGCACAGAAATCACACACAGCGACAACTCTGGCACTGCGAGTATTATCCAAACTAACCTTTCTCTCTGATGCATATCGAACGTGACCAGATACAACCTCGGCAGGGTCGCCAAGCCCGAATCACAGCACTGACAATACTACATACATCAGCATCTCACTCAGACTGTTCCCTATCTCTCTCTCAAGTCACACATCATGCCCTATTATCCTAAACAACCTGCCCGACCCACCAACCGTGTCGTACAGACAGCCCTGACAACGACATCATCGCTCATCAACTCTCTCGTCACCCGCGATCGCATTCAGTCAGGCTCCAACCGATCCTCTCGTCAACCTCCAATCCTGTGCTCACGTACCGACCTTGCTCCTCGATGTGGCATCACACGCTGAAACATATCCAATCTCCTGGCCTACCTACATCTCCGTCATCGCTTCGCCTGAGATGATATCCTCACTCAAACGCTTAAGCCTAGCACACACCTCGACTACACCACTATCCAGTCACTCATCCCAACCTCAAAGCACTCATCCTACTCAGCTCCTCGCCGGATAAACCAGCTGCTACGATATCACCAACAAGCTAGATCTACGTACATTCACTCTATTTTCTTCACCGATAATCTGTGACCATCTGAAACCATCTTCCTGAATTAATTTCCAAAACATCTGTGAAATACATAGGTATCCTATTACCTTTCCTTTCAACAGCTTCGACCACTCACCTCCGACATCGTACTACATATCAGACTTATATTCCTCTGAAACTGTCAGCGATAACGCCAACATCTAGACCTGACTTATTTGTTAGAACTCGGAACACCTCGTCCCACTATCAACGTAGTTTCTTAAACTGATAAACACTGGCCTCGTCACCTTCAGTGCCCATACCATCGTTATGTCTTAAAGACTGAAACACTGATTTTATATTTTTAAATTCCCCAATCAAAAAACAACGCACCCTGCCTTTATGCATTCGCGTCACGGTTACTCCTCTGTTGAAGTCAGTCGAAAATATGTCAGAAGAGATCGTTCTTGATTCAATCGTACCCTCGCTTCCACTTCATTACAGATATCGCAGAAATCCTCCTCGTCTGAACCATCATATGCAACTCCAAAAACGTAGCCACACTTCACGTCCAGCAACTACTCTCATGACACCCGAAGGCTCGTCAAGCCAATAGCCTTCCCAGCCCGCACCCACTGCCACACGTAATATGATTTGCGACCTGATCACTCTGATCCACATGCATACATATCCACATGGCTCATCAACCTGTTTGCAGCTTTACACATAGCTTTTATAGTCAAATAAAGACATCACTCATTCTGGGCGACTATCATCTAAGCTCTTCTGTCCGACCACTGGCCTCCTGGGTAACCTTCGTGGTGCACGCACCGCATTAACGATAGCTTCCCTATTCGCCTCTCGCGCATCTCTCTGTCGTACGTTCAATTTTTTCTTACTGTCTCGTGCGTCAGACTATTTGCTTGAGTCCCGTCGGACTTCTTGTACGCTCCGACGAGGGCCACTACTTGAAGACTCACGAACCTCAACCCCACCATGCTTGTGCCATATCGGGTACACCCTTTAAATATATCTTGCGTCTACACTCCCTCAGAGCCGCCCGCGAGTGCTTACTCCAATACGGCCACGATCGTGCGACTGGCAAATCGCACTCGTACATAAGAACGCATTGACTACTTTCACCTCTCTTGGTGTACACATACTCTTTACGTCAATCGATGTATCTGGCCCGCCATCCCCATCAATGCACATCTCCTCTCTACACGCACGATTTTAATAACAAAAAAAAACCATACCTGCTTACTCCGAATTCCTCTGTTATAAGATGATATCCACTCTTAGATCAACTCTCCTCCCTGGTGCATATCTTGTCGACTGCCCAAGAGCATCAATCATCTTGACGTCAAATCATTGTAACATTAACTGAGTACCCTGCACGAGTTATAGCGGTCTCAACTTCACACTACATCAGTTTTGCACCAATATCCTAGATACCCATAATACGTACTTTACTCTAGTACCCACCTTCTAGCATAATTGCGTACAGTCTCCAAACCTAGTTGATCACGCCGCCGGTACACTCGATCACCGCCCCTTTGCAAGGTTGGAACGCTAGCTACGAAGGATAGCGCCATCCACGTGAAGACACCGCATCTGCACAGTCGCGTACGAAACACACTCACCTAATATCTCTTCTGTCTATCTTCACACACGCTCCTTCTCCGGCCCCACACCGGCTCAAAATATTACCATACCACAACTACTCTTATATACAACACACTCCACAAGCTATCGCGTACATCTATTAACAACAACAGCTAAATATAAAACGGAACCACGCGTACTGTGTGGACTAGCATCTGATGCCTGGACTCTAGTCAGCATCTGCAGCTGACATAGCCAACAGCACCGTGATATGCAATCATCATAATCTCTAATCAGCGATCTTACAGCGTCCGACACAGACAGACACATCAGATGTCCTACAGTCCTTTCGGAAAATACTCCTCATACTCGACACCAGCGTTCGCCTACCTCAGCTGAGCTGGGAATAAGTTACACCATACCCGTGTAAAGTCAAAAAACGCTTTAATCAATGTAACCAAGCCCGAATTTTTATCCTGCCACTACCCATGGATGCTATTACGTTTGCCTCTCCCTCTCCGCCCTATACGCTGGCGTACCACCGGCGCATAGACCCCTCTCACGAAACCTCTTAGCGTCCTACTATCTACTCCACACTCTGACCACTGCATCACTAGCGCTCGCTCTGGCTCATTAGGCTGACACTGTCCGAGGCACCGCTGCACCTCCTTTCGTCTCCCTGGGCTCAGCAAACGCATTTCCCACCGTCAGTTCCCTGTCACTTCGCCACCTGGCGCTGCCACTGCTGCTTCGCCCCTCTTCTATCATGCTGCCGTCCACTCTGCATACCCCTTCTATGTACTGACGTGCTCCGCAGCTACCACTCACTTTACCTCCTCCCCACACCAGAGCACGTTGCATCCTCCCTTCCCTGACGTTCCTCTGACTTGATCTACCTACGCGCCTTCCTCATTCGCCCCTCTAGTCGTCTCGCTCCTTTTATCACCTTGTTGCTTTCCCTTCCTTACCTCACTCTCCTGCCGCTACGTCCTCCATTCTCCTTTCACTAGCCTTCGGTTTTCCCATCACTGCTCCGCTACTTTTCTCCTTCCGACTTTCTACCAACACGTTTTCCCTCTCTCCAAAAACTCAGCTCCCCACGCTAACTGGTTTGGATGAATCTTATGCTACTCTCATTTTTTGCGATTCGTCACTGGCGTCGCTACGATTTCAGAAACCCTAGCGTGTTGTATGTCCGATCTAATTGCGCAGCGGCATGTCCTTGCTGCTCCGATACGTTGCTCGTTTGCGTCGCGACTCGCGCAATTCCGGTCTCAAGTCATCCTACTTCAGTTCATATCTCTAATATGACTATTTCTCTTGCCCTGTCCTTCCAAACGATCGCTCTCTCTATCGGCACGACTGTACGTCACGCTCCTTCGAGAACGATCCCTCATGCAGCGTAGCTGCACATCGCATCTCACCTCCCTCCTCTCTCGCACCACGCTCACTAGGCTCTGCTGTCGCTGTTTCATTGCAGCTGTCATTACCTTCCTAGGATCTCTGCCATGAGGCTATCCTCACTCATTTGGTACGACATGTCGTACTGCCATTTGTAAAGCAGTGCCATCTGCCGCCACCTCTATCCTACTGTGCGCAGTGAGGATTTATGGAAGCAGCTGGCCCAGCACGGGTAGCCCTCGCTTCACCCCACTTTTCCGTTCATCAAGTCTTGGCGCATTCTTTGCGCACTACTCTCTCTCGGTCTGGTGGTACCCGGTGCAATGCGAAAATATATAGTGGCGACCACGCACGGCCGCGCTCTGGCCTTGTCCCTGCAGCGGTTTTCGCAGAGTCGGAGGTGGCTGCGTCCGTGATGGCTTATACTCAGGCTGACTTGGTTGCTGCTATGGCTTGTACGCTCCCTTGGGCCCTTTTCATCAACCTGACTAGTTTCACTTATTTATCCGGATCATGCCCTCATAAGCTCTCTTATCCATCGTCGCCGCAGATCACGCTGCCATTGCTTGGTCTCACTGATTACCCTCTTGGGACTTGTTAAATCCTGATATCCATAATCTACTCTCTTGTCTCATCTTAGCTTTCTACGTCAACTACTGTCAAAGACGATTCAAACTTAGTCCTCGGTCTCGCATCTCTCGCACAGTAGACCCGCAGATACTGTCAACTACCCAGAAAGACATAGACACAAAAGCTCCACAAACTACGCAGCGAACTCAGACTCCCGTACTTTGATCGCTAGCACCCTATCACTTGCACTGTCTCCACTATAATCAATAACCCAGATAAAGAAGACCTCACTCACTTACATATAATCAACGTCCTTCCTCTGTACAGTCCGATACCTGCCATCATGGTCGCTACTCGGCCTAACTTGGCTGGTGCAGCCTACTATATACTCCGCCTCCAGATCCCCATAGGGCTCTTCCTGCTCGCTCCAGTAATCACTGCACTTATACAATGCAATATTAGTGTGGAATGACGTCCAAGTTTGTCTGTTTGCATTGTGTCCCTGTCACAATGTGACAAAGAGAGCGTGATATGCACTGCTGAACATAGCGATCATGAATTTATGACGCCACTAATAAAGTAGGGTTAATCGTAACCATCATCTATGCTCATATCACAGTAATGAATATGTGCGAGCTTGCACAGTTCTCCCTATCTGTAAAGTCGTTGCAATCCGACTTTCCATACCCGTTGCCTACATGAACATCTCTAGTCCTCTGCCTCTCTTTTAGAACCTAAACACCAGCGATAATGCATATCCTCACTTTTAGGCTCAAATACGTCAAACATAATAGTTCCTGCTGATCATCAGTCTCTGTCATCAAACTCCCTCCTGCATCGACTAATTCGCCGTCCTGCGACCACTGATAATCGACACCCATCTAATACTATAAATGTGGTGTCCTGTTGAGATTGTCATTCATCATCCAGATTCATTATAGAGAGATCTATGCTCTGCTTTAACAATGTTCACCACACTCTGCACTTCAAGATAGATACTCCCGTCGTCCGCTCCCTTGAATGCCTCTGCGATGCACGAGTCCTTGGGGGCTCTCAGACACTTTTTCAACTCAGCTTCGGCGTGAACGAAAGCCCGTCCCCCACACACTCTCGAGGTTTTCCATTAACCACTAGCCTCCGAGCCCGCTCCGCATAAATCATATCAACCGCATTGAACCTATAGGCACATGCTGATCATCGAGACCGCCGAGTAGCCGACATGTAAAGTTCTTTGCGATCGACACTAGCCGTTTTGCGAAGACTCTCAAGCATGTCGAGTCCATTCATGTAGCTGCGCAGAGAGTGCCCTACTGGCCTCCCAGAGCACATACACTACCTCGTCGCACAAGCCATGAAAATATAGCTCCTCACACACACGCTTTCTGACTGAACTACATCCGCGGAATACGCTGTGTCAAGACACTAACTTCGAGTCACCTCTTTGGTACTATTCGCCCCCTTCCGGCACCGGCCGACGCGAAGATCGCTCACTTCACCCGTACACCACCACACCCAAAACGACCAGCTTCACTCGATATAACTACCCGTCTCGAGAACAACTCCTGTGGCCCCTAAGACGTTTCAACGAAACTCTGTCTATCACTCACACTACACCGCCATTCCTCTTATACCAGACTCAAATAAGCTAATACATCACTCATAAACTACCATAAACCGACAGACATCCACAATTTATCTAATACTCCTATCGATATCGAGCACGTAATCAGAGGATATTATAGCATCATCCATTCTTTCCTTTGCCACTGTCTCTCACTATTTCAACGAGATCGACCTAGTTGTGGCTTCTCCTCCGCCCACGCCGCACCACACGGTGCATCATGTAAGGTGAGCCTTAAACTCGAGACCCAAGCGACGGACTCGCCAATTTCCCGCAGTATCAGATGTTCAATTCTTGGTGCCCATCATACCACCAGGCGACGTTAGAACTCGTTATACAAAAACTGTGATCACCCTTTCCTTTCCGTCTTCTCGTCCGGAAACGTGCCTTGTGATGTATTTTATTTCTGCGTTCGGAGCGCACTTCACTGATATTCTCTGATTCTCGCAAACCCGCTGTCCGTCTTTCAGTCATTCTGAAAAGAAGTTACGGCCTACATGTTATCGGTTGTACCAAGGCTTATATCCATTCTCCGCAAGTTTCTCAACTTTCTCCCTTCGAGACCCAGTCAACTTTTGAGGCTTTTTCCAAAGCCTATCTCCAGCGCAACACCTTGGTGCAACTAGGTTATCAATTGTTCGCATATTCTCCTACCTCATGTCATATCTTCATTTTGATCCTGATATTCATGTGGCGTCTCGTGAACTCATCATGGTTTTAAGATACCCCTCGCATCTTGAGGTACGAAGCTTTGAATATCGCCACAATAACCTTTTCTGGTCACACGAGTGTATCTTAGAGATCACTAACGGGATATTGACGCCAAAGCATGCATAGACGGCACTTAGACCGCAATGTACTCTTCGCAAGACGCACACTTTCATGCTCACTTGGATTTTGGCCCCCCAAATTCATCAAGGGACAGCTGATAGTCAGTTAGTTGCAACGTCTCAGATTCCGCTAACCTGTTTTGACGTGCATAGATTCTAACGAGGTGCTGTGAGGCAGATTTGACTAAGCCGACTGCACTTGATTATCATAGAGCAACCATACTAATTGGTATATTCAATTGCGCTCTTTAAATCCCTTAAACCCATTAACAATCTTCACCTTACCAAAATGACAGACTTCAATCCACAATCGTATAAATGTTCACCTGTTTACGCAAATAGTGCTAAACATTGCCATGATTCGTATTTCCACCATCTCATGTTCTTAGTAAAGACCTCTAATCCCAGTCATACTCAGCTCTCAACAAGTCCACATCTCTTCCAACCATCTCCAAACCTGAAACGGGTCCAGAGGGCACAGCACGCTGCAGCCGAACTTCAATACGCCTATACCAATCCCGTGACTCCAACACCGAGGCCTAGGCCAGAAGGGCTTCCTGGAAGTCTGGAAGCGCCCCACGGGGGAGTGCGGGCGCGAGTTGAGACGAGATCTTGGCTGGGGCGACTGGCGTGCGAGGGGTGTGATGTTTTGGGGGTGTTATTGCCGGATCCATCGCAGCGCCATGAACCCGTGGCGGCCTGGCAGTTATTTTTGCTTCTTCTAATGGTTTTCTACTTGCCCTCGTCGGCTTAACGACCGGCAACACCCCCTCGACCAGCATCTGAAGAGCTGTCCTTTCTCTTTAAATTAGGCTTCTACTCATTAGCTGTCGGTTATAAACCGAACTAATAAGTTTTGAAGATATCTTTTTGACATGGTAACGGCTAGCTGACGCTCAGCTAGCCCGTTGAACTAGTCGTTGGTTTTTTTTTTTTTTAGTTTTTGTTCTTTTTAAATTTATTTTACTGAACTCATTTTTTTTTTCTATCCAGAAATATGGTGAAGTTCTCTTCAACCTTTCCTCTACGATGCACTAGTTCGCGAATTTCGCTCCTATCTCTCAATACTATATCCCAGTCATCAATATATTTCTCAATATTTCTTCAAATATTCCTTCAGACCATATTTCTAACCGATCTTACTCTCCGATTCGATATGTCAAGATTAGCTTTGTTTTCAATCTTACTTCATATTACTCTTCCATCTCAATATTTTTCCGAATGATCTTCCTTCATCGCTATATTACATATTAGTGGTTTCAAATCTTGTTTCAATTCAGATTTCTCCAATTTCAATCCTATCCTGCGAATTATTTCTTCACCCTGTTCGTATTATGCGAATTACCTCCGTGTCAAGTTTTGTCCTTTTACTTTTTCTTCAAGACATAAGCATACAAGAACTTGGGTACGCCTTCGTATCGGCAAGTGAAAAGGCTAGGGCTATGGACCCAAAAGACAACTTGTGAAGCTCTTTACGCAATGTTATTAGAATGCGACTCTTCAGAAGATCAGCCTCGTGAGGGGAGACTCGCTACGATTTCCTTCAAAGCACACGTGAAGGTGCCTTGGATTTCATTCATGTATCTTCTCTTGTCTGTACGGTACCTTGCTCCAATAAAAACTTAGCGAGCTAGTTCTTACGCGAAATGGATCCTCTCCATACCGACAGACATCAATACCCCGAAACCCAAGACGAAAGTGTGTTCTTTCACACCGCCATGGCAAGAAACATCTTCATCAATGTTTGTACTCATCCTAAAAGGCATCTCAAGCACTAATTCGCGCCATGCATGCAAGTAGACACTGGAATACACGCGAGGGCCGCAATTTCTTATGACGAACGTTAAGCGCTGTGTCTTTATATCCACAGTTACATGTCTCTAATACATTAAGCTTATCGTATTATTACATTAGCAAATTTCCCAGTAGACATAAATGTTCCTTAATATTTTCTATATCTTATCTCTTTACTAACGGGGACGCCAAGGTTATCAAGGAATTTATATTCATCCGCGAAGGGCCAGCTCAAAATACTCCTCAAATTCTCAGGTTTCAACCTGGTCTGTACTTTGGGATCACTATTTTGTACATAGCAGCGCGTGGTAGGTGTTATCTTGAAGACTCCACGCCTTCACCAACAATTATAGAGTGGACTCCTTTGCAATGCTGGATCGATACGGCCCTATCTGTTGAAGATTGAATGAAGATATGGCACTCTTCTAATCCAGTTCAAACAATCACAAGGTCCCTAGTGAAACACCTCTCAGGGTAACGTCCTCCGTCCGACAAATTTCGGTCTTATCGAGCTAGGCCTATATCTTGACGAGTAACACCAGGCTACCTTCCTCGCTAAATGAATGGCCGGGTGAACAGTCGTGTCAACGGCAACAATCTGACTTGATTACAGCGCGTCAAAACCTGACCGCTGCACATGGCCGTGCCTATGCCCCGCGGCAACTCATTTCGCATTAACTGGGAGCCAAATGCCCGTGACCGAAATGAAAGGAAGTGTAGAGCCCACTGCGCAAGAGCGATCGGCATCGTACCTCGGCTCCCCAAACAAAATACAAGAGAGGGAATGGATGCACTATAGAGCAACGTATGGAAAGAGAAAACACTCTCGAATTACACTTTCCAATGAGTTAAAGACCATAATTTTTTGATAGAAAAACAGAATTATGGCATCCTCCGCGCAAATTGTTCTGACCTCTGGACTTATACTCACTCCAATTGGCTGGATGATGAAGCATAATCATTGTAGTTTATAGATATTAAATTTCTAAGTCGTTTCTGTAATTTTTTACAATTTAATGTTAATGTTTCTCTCTTCTGCTAACATTTATGTTTGTAGTGTTTAAATTATAAGGGTTTGTTTTTTAAATTTAACGTTTGTTGTCAGTATCTTTAAATCGTTACAATCAATAAACATAATGTTTGGCCTTCAGGTCCCTGTTTGGCCGGTACTCAGCGTTGCGAGAACGGTTTTTTGTGACCAGGAGATGTTAACGAGCCATTTGGCCCTTCTGGCCTCGGTTGGCCGCGGAAGGACAAATATGGCTCTGTCTACTGTTCCATCTAAAATATTAATATCCCTTGAGACACCTTTGGGCAGGCCATGAGGGCTCACTACCTGTCGGTTGGAAGATGGCGCCTCAGTGTACATAATAATTGGGACAATTATTCTGCGCGTGGTGTGCGTGGGAATGTTTACGTTCCCGGCAGCCGAGTAAACATGCATCAAGAGTTATACGATTTTTCAGAAGTTCGAAACACACGCGGCGTCCCCAGCTGGCTTGCACAGCGAGCAGACAGACCGCTTGAGCACCCAACGATACACCTTCTCCCCTAATTCTGACAATTTCCAATTCTTGCCTGATCCGTATTCTATTTCCCCAAAACCCCCAACTAAACCATTATCATTATATCTGACAACGCGTCCACATATATTCCACTATTTCAATTTTATTATGTCTCTCTGTTTATGTGTTTGGACTAGCTGATGGCACCTCTACAGCTGCGCCTGGGGTGTAACACGTTGTCGTGCCCCTCTCTAATTCCTTGCGCAAGCCGCCACTGTCGTCACTGACCACAGCCAAAAGCTGCTCTCATGTCGCCATGAAAATGGCTCAAGGAGGGCTCCCTCCTCGCGTAGCTTTCTCTCATGTCGTGCTTTATTGCTCTCTAGGGCATTCCCGAGACCATCACGTACCGTGTCGATTTGCACGAATGTCCATTTTCTCTCGGATCTCGCTGCCGAGCTTTTCGTGGCATTCCATACGTCTCTCATCCTCTCACCGTCAAATCTGAATTCTATCAGGCTCTCCTTCTTTCCAGCTGCTGGCCTTTTCTTCTATTCGCTATTGAGCGCTGTCTCAAAAAAGGAATATACACTTTGCTCGTCACCGCGTCGTGCTCGTTTTTTGCATGTGAAAGGTTGCTGTTTGTTAGCTCTGCCCTCATGCAGGAAGACTACCGAGAGCTGTTTATGGTAGATCGCTTAACAGGAGGTGCAACGGTTATGTAAGGAACTGTGTGTTTCTGCATTGTATGTGTCTTGGGACTGCGCTATTTCTCAGAAACCAACTGAAAATTGGGACCGGTTTGGAGGACAATGTTGTAGTCGTCCTGTTGTTGGGTGACAATGGTGGTTCTTATTGAACACTACTGCGGAGAACTTGCGCTGTTCCGCCTGGTCGTAACGATTTCATCAAAAGCTCTCCACTTTTTGGGCTTTGAAAGAAAAGGAGCTTTGAGGTTTTTCATTTCCGTGCCGTGGTGGGAAGTAGACACAACATGACTGTTCTGAGGGAAAACAGGCGCGTCCGTCATTGTTGATAGCATAGAGAAGAAGACCTTCATAGTGCAGCGGCCGTGCGTTGCAGTTGCTTTTTCTCTCCAGCTCCTCTTCGACTGCGAACCGCCGGCGTCGCCAAGAAGAAGCTCTTCTCCAAGAAATTGCTTCCTCCATGTCAGTCATTTATCTTCTATAAAAGCTTCTTTTTATTTCCTTTTTAATTAAAAAAATAATTAGAAATATAAAAAGTTCGGTGACATTTTTGTGTGTGTTAATTTGATGGATCAGCTCGAGCAAACAAGGTTTCCAAGAAGTTCAGAGATGAAAAAATGCCGATTTCCAAGCTACATTTGGTATGCATCTTATTGTAGCTTGTAAATTTAGATTTATTTGTACTTTTCTTGGTGGGTTTGATTGTTTTAATTCTCTCTTTTTGTTGGGAATGCTGTGTGTGTTTGAATGATAGATTGCTGATGAAAACAGTGGGGGTTTCCTAAATGCGAAGAAAAACGGGAATCCTAGTGTTGATTATGAGCACAAGCATGAACTGCGTGCTCCGAGTTTGGTTGCTAGGCTTATGGGTCTTGAATCCATGCCTGCCACACGCGAGCAGCCCAAGAAAGCTTCGTTTGCTGATGTTAGTGACAGTGGAGAGAAGACAATTGTGAATAACTGTAGTGGTAATGATAGAGAAGAACTGAATTTGGAGACACAAAATGGAAAGTCTGAAGCAAGGCCTCAGAAGCTGCAGAAAATGGGACCGTATGAGAAGAGGGCAGTGACTAGGTTTGGAGCCGAGGCATTAAAGTGTTTTGTCGTGCTCGAGAAAGCATCACCCAAAGCTTGCTTCTCCAGTGAAGAGTCCTAGGATTTCCTCTGGGAAGAATGCTTCGCGAAACTCTCGGTTGATTGGTGCTGCTACTAGAATTTTAGAACCTGGACTGCAGTCTACGAATAGAGCAAAAGGTGCCCTCACTTACTCACCTTCGTTTCAATATCCTCCGGTGTGTGAGGTTGTGGAAGATGGAGCAACAGTTCAATCACCAGAGATTTCTAAGCATGCACGTTGTAATGCTGGTGCGTCCAATTCTCTGATAGGCCAAACTTCTTGCAAAAGCTGTGGTAGTTCAGTAGATGTTGTGGAATCATCGTCAAAGGTGGAGGCACAACAACCTGCTTTCCCATCCTTTGCTTCAAACATTATCAATGGCTCTTCGATGGTAGCAGAACAAAGTAAGCCGAAGTCATCCATATCCTCCTTTGGGAAAGAAAAGGATGCAATTTCTCAGGGAACTCGGAACCAACCTGTATCAGTTTCTGGTCAAAAGGGAATACGATCCCTTGGTGAACCTGTCACAGAAGGGAAGTCTCTACCACCAGAAGGTCTAGCTTCATGGCAGTTGTTGTCAAATCAACCATGCAAACCTCAGAAGGGAGAAGCATCTTCGATTACCTCAAAGAATAGGTCTCAGATGCAGCATCGAATGTCACTAGGAAGAGAAAGGATTCCACCCAGATCCAAACTAAATAGTCTTGATGGAAGAAGAGACTCATCTGCTGCCAATGCTGTTACAGGGACCAAAGACTTTGTTGCCTTGAACCGAAATCTGAGTGTTCGTTCCCGACCAAGGGTGCTTACCAAAATGAACGATTATAAGTTTGACACAGAGAAGGAAGCCTTTAATGGAAAAGATGATTATCCATCACAGCTAAGGACCACGATACGGAAAAGGAGGATTATCAATGGTAGTGGCCAAGTTGAAAGTAGTGGTTTTGTTGGTTCAACTTCCACAAGACGGGGGAATTATCAGTTTGATGTGCCAACTGGAAAGAGATTAGGAAATGGTGTTCATTTTATGAACCACACTTCTGCTAGGAATAAATTAGCAGGTCAGAGAGACTTCTGCTAGGAAACAGAGCAAAATGGCAAAATAAGGTACACTGATGCACTTATTTCATTCACATTTAATTCCCCTTTCAGGAACAGGACTGGACCCTAACGGGACAAATCAGAAGAATGCATAATTTCACAAGGTACAAAACATTGAGACATTGCAGAGGAAGCAGGTTTCTCCCCAAGGACCTAATTGCCATGAGCTGGACAAGATGCTTTTGGTGTTCAATCTCTGGAGCACAAGATGAAAATTGGCTTAACATGAAGGATCTTCAAGAGGTCACTTGCTATGATTCTCCAAGAGCTAATATCTGCCTTGTCTGCAGATCATTCTAATTCTTCTCATGACGGACAGATGGCCAATACAATCCAGAGGTCCACTGTGTGGTCCTTTTATTCTATTGCCTGTTTTATTGAGATCGAGCAATTATTTTAACTTTTTATACCAAGAAGAATATGTTGGAAGTGTGACTATTTGAGTCTGGGAACTAGTTGGAATGATATACATGAGACTTGAGAGATGATATTTGGGTTTTTACTTTTTACTGACACATTGAACCATGAGTGTGCAACTTTAAATAGAAAAATTTAATTGACTACTTCTATATGGTTTCCCTGCCTTTTATTGTATTTTTGATTAACTAGGTTGGGTGTACTTATTCTCATATATTAGATCCCAAACCTTTGTTACAAAAACGGTTTACTAGTATTTGTCTAATATGATGCGTTTTAGATGTATTACTGAAGTTCTTAATTCTTTGACTGACGACAGCTACAGCTTATTGAATAAAGTATCTGATGTCTACATATAAACATGTTATTGATGTCAATACGACCACTATGATAGTTAAACTTTTCCCATGTAAGAGTTGTTCTCTTAGGTTATCATCGCTTTGGAATATATGTCCCACATCTAAACATATAGAATGATTATTTGGATACTTTTTAGGGTATTTCTGTATTTTTAGTCTCATCTAAATAGGTTAGCTCGATTTGTAACCTCATGTAATATATGTTCCCTATGCATTATTTAAAATAGTTTTGGATTTCAATTTTAAATGGGGGCCAACGGAACTTCCAATTACTAAAAGAATTTTAGGGAAGTATTTCTTCTTTTTAGAGTGGCTGACCATCATTAAATGACTTATGACTATATGTAACCTTCATGTAAATTGAAGATTCATACAACTGTTCTGCTGGATCTTTCGAGTGACTTTGGATGTTTCATGTTAATCGTCCCTAATTGGGGGCCAATTAGGAACTCCAATTTTTACAATATTAAATGATTTGCCTTAAATTTTGTAAAACTTGTATTCTTGTTTTTATTGGTAGGAGGTTGTGCATTTCTGTTATTGGCGGAGTTACAATCATCACAGAAACTGTTTCTGGGCAACCCAGGAATGACAAAATAAACCATGGATACATCATTTTGCTGTGGTGGATTTTATTAGTTTTATATGGTAGGAGGTTGCAGTCTGTGTATGCGGCCAAAACAGATAAGTGCTTTCCACCAGGGATTTGAGTTAATATAATAACGTTCATTGTTCTTGGATTATGCATTAACTTTGCCTCGTTGATTCATGTTTAGTGCTTCCACCAGGGATTATAACTAAGCGTTCAATTCACTAAATATGGAATTTGCCGCTTTTTGTCCTACGATTACGCCATATCTGTCAACGCATACGCCAATCTGTCAACAGTAATTACTTTGGCATCTACATAATGGAGGTTGTCTGTGCATGTGCACCATGTTACTAGTAATTTAGATGAGTGGAATGGAGAAGAATTCCGGTCTTGGGAAAGCTAATTAAACAAAGCATGCTGCTGCGTGATCTATTGATTTAGTTTCCTCACGCTTTGCTTAAAAATACTATGAGCAAGAATTTCATATTACATTGATAAACTAGTTACGGTGGTTTGGACATGTGAAACGAGGTAGGAAGAAGACTTGGACAAAGGTTCAAAGGGTAGAGGAAGATCTAGGAAGACTTTGGAAAAGACTCTACAAAAAGACTTGAAGTACTTGGATCTAACGGAAGATGTGGCACAGAACTGAGTGCAATGGCGTTCTAGGATTCATACAGCCGACCTCGCTTAGTGGGAAAAGGCTTTGTTGTTGTTGTTGTATTGATAAACCAGGGGCAACCCCTGGTTGTTATATTCAGAAAGTGACTATTGGTAACCTATAAGCAAGTGAAAAAGTTATCAACTTCAAAGGACGTGCATTCATGAGTTGGTTGCCAGTAGCATGTTTACTGCCATATCTTGTGTATGTATTACCCTATTAGGAACAATAATATTAAGGAGATGCTGAACCAATAGGGAGTATGAAGGGAGAATGGAAAGAAAGGTCAGGAAGACGAACAAGGGGATACCTAGGCTTTAATATTACATGATGAAATTTCTCAGTATTACTCAAGTTAGCATCTCTATTCAATCATTTCCCTGTATGCTTTCTATTTGCTTCTCCTGCAACTTTTACCGGTTAAAGTTTCTGCGGAATATCGTAGATGTTAATACTCGATTAGCATTGGCATGCAAAATTAGTTGTTTATACACACTGTCCTTTAATGATTTAATCCTCATCGCCAACTTCTCTTGTAAAAGTAGGAATTTTTGTTAATCTCAGTTAATGAGCCTGCATTGTGCCTAACTTCAAATCTTTCTTGTGTTTTATAAAAAGGTGTTTTGGTACATTTCTTGACTCTTTTAGCTTCTGTTGTTCCTCATCAGGCTTGTGGAAAGACAGATAGATCAGTTGGAATCTTTCATGATGGTCATCATTTGAGCCCTGGGTCGGTTCTTGAAGCTTCATTTTCTTCGAGTAGTCTGGATGATAGCTCAGGTAGAGTACTTGAGTAATAGTAGAAACTGCTAGGCAAAAACAGATACATAATTTCCTTTTCTAAACCGGGGTGGTAGAGTACTCGGATAACCCCCTAATCTAAATGTGATTTGTTTTGTTTTGATAAGATCCTTGAAATGTGATTTTATCTTCGTCTTGCTTCTGATTCCAGGGCATAGGTCCTTCTACCCTCACTCTATGGATTACTCTGCTGATCAGTTGCAACTTGGACATGATGCTGATATTGTAGACTCTGCCACTTCAGCGGACAAAAATAAGACTGGCGGTGAGATGATAACTGCTCTTTTCGGCAATGTATCAAGAATGTTGCATAGCATCGATGCTGGTGGGGAGAGATTGAGTGGAGGCAAGCTCACCAATGCAAATGAAGTTATCTTGAATGCCGAACTGTTGTTTGGAGATGTGACTCTTCACAATAAGGGGAACATAATGGAAGGTCTTTTCGTCAGTCCCTTGCTTCTTGATCTGGAAACTATTGCTGGCACCATGATGACGAAATTCCATGTGTATAGTAGTTTCAGGGGCGTCAAAGAACTTACTGAATTCCTATTTGGCTTTGTCGTTGAGTACTTGGAATCAAAATATGACCGATACTGCAACTCCGGATTCAGATTTTGGAAAAAACTCCCCGCAGGCATGAACCACAAGTTGATGATTCAAGAGGTTCGGGAGGAGATTCAGAAGTGGACGGATTTGGCTGGAATGATTCCTGATGAGTTGATAGAATGGGATATTAGTCATTCCCTGGGGAAGTGGACGGATTTTAATATCGAAGCGTTTGAGGTCGGTTCTGAAATTGACGGAGACATTCTTCAAAGTTTGGTTAATGAAGTTGTGATCGACCTCTGCGAGAGCAGGCTGCTGGATTCCTTTTGAAATTCATGTAAAACCCTAGCAACCATTTTTTTATATTTTTGAGTTCGTATGATCATAGATCAGCCATGTCACATGTTAAGTTCTGTGTGTTAAACCAAGCAAATGTATTCTTTTGTACAAATCAATGGAAGGCTTAGGGTTTAGTTTAAGATCAGTTATCAGGTTTTGCCAGTTTGTACGTGCTAGAATTTTGCACTTTTTTTATTTTCCCGCTTTTGAGTGTCATAAAAGTTGGTCAACCTTATCAATCCAACTGCTGATATAATAAATAGCCGAAAAAAAAAAATAGTAGATAGTGTTTGATAACCTGAAGTACCAAAAGTGGTTTTAGCAAAAAGAAAAAAAGGAGGGGTATCATTGTGAAAATGAAAGTTTCATTATGTTCACCCGGCCTTATATGAAAAAGCGCTTTTTTGAGAAGCATGATTAGAGCATCTTCGGTTTTTTGCAATTTTAGACTAAAGAGGCTGCTTTTTTTTTTCTTTAGACCATCTCCAACCCTGGGCTAAAAGCCAAATTACCACCCAAATTACCCCCCCAAACACTCTCCAACCCATGCTAAAATTTTAGGCTAAATGCCAAATGCTATTTCTGGGCCAAATACCCCCCAGCTTTCCCCCCGGGCTAAATGCGAAATGTTTATCGGAATTTAAATTTTTTTAGATTAAAATGTTCATAAAATTAATTTACAATAATCTACATATTTATTTAAAAAAAAAATTGATTTAAGAAAAAAATTTAGGCTAATTTCATTCTTTAATAATTCCGGGCTAAAATTTTAGGGTAGAAGGGTTGGAGCAGAAAAGATGTTTCTGGGCTAAAAGCTAAATTTTTCGGGCTAAAAAATTTGGCTTTTAGCCCAAGGGTTGGAGATGGTCTTAGCTTCACTTTTTTATTTATTTTTTCTTTTACAAACACAATTTAGGCCTAGTTTGTTATTTTTTTTTCACCAAAAACTGATTAACTTTAAAGTTAAGCAGTTAAAAAAGTGCTGTAAAAGTAAAATATACTGCTTACTTTAAAAGCAATGGTCTCTAGACATCAGTTTTTAAAAACTGGCTGTAAGTTACTTTTAAAAGCTGCTTTAATAAAAAAGTAGAGTTGAGCCTTTAGAATATTTTAAATTCCTGTTATTTATTTTAAACAATGACATTATTTATTCTTGGACAGAACTTAGTTTCAACCGCAGTTCTTGCTGCTAGCCAATCACAGATGAACATGTGTTCAATTTGTGATTAAAAAATCAATTATTTGGACACGTGTCCATCCGTGATTGACCAGCAGCATGGGCTATTGCTTATTTTTTAGCAGCCAAGTTCTGTTCCTATGAAAAACATTGTTAAGAAGGATAAAGAACAAAACTTGGCTTGGCTAATCACAAATGGACATGTGTTCAAGTAATTGATTTTTTAATCACAGATTGAACACGTGTCCATCTGTGATTGGCTAGTAGCTGCTGATTTTTCAGTAGCCAAGTTCTGTCCAAGTGAAAACCCATAACGCTCGGAAAATTTGAGAAAAAATGGCCAAGCGGTACCTCTAAGCTTTTGCATTCCATCAAAAAACAAAAGTGGTAAGAGCCGTTACAAGTAAAAGTTCCATTCAAGTAGATATCTGGACCGATCAGATCAAAATTTTTACTACCATGATTTGATCAATCATCTTCAATTAAAACAGAGGATTTGCACAAACAACAAATCAAGGGGAAAAAAGTACATCCAGGAGTTGAAACAATTCATCAAACTTTATCATTGACTAGTTACATTCCGAAACAAATAAAAAAAAAAGAAAAAAAAGAATTTTAAGTGGTATTCGAATTCCCAGGCCATGAAACCACAAACAACATATTCAGCAAAGAAGACCCCCCAAAAGCACCAAACTTTCAGAACTGTCTGTACCCCAAAACAGTCTTTGGCATTGCTCTGCCATTGCCGTTGGCATTCCTTCCACCCCTGTTTTCGCCGCTAATAGCATTAGCGGCGGCGGACGACAACCCCTTCAACTCCTCCATACTCGCGTAGCTCTTCCTCCCCATGATGCCTCGACCATTGTTGTGCCTCTTCTCTCCCGCGATCGCCGATTTACTCCCTCTTGAATTCGACAGAACCCCGTCCGCCGCTTTCGCCCAACTCTTCGCCGGCGGAGTCATCTCCTGCATCGACGGAAGCCTCGACGGCGGCTTGCGGTTCTCTTTCCGCAACACGGCTGAGAAATCAGGCACCGATTGAGCGAGAACGGAAGACCCTTTTCGCGAATCGGTCAGATGGGTCTGAAATTTGACTTGTTTCTTCAATGGGGTCGGTTTCGATTCGGGTTCTTCGGACTCCTCTGGGCTCATGTACTTCCTCCTTAGCCGCGATTCTCTGAGTTCCGCGTAGGCTCTGTATCTGGGTCCTCTCTCCATGGAGTAGCTCTCGGTGGCGAACCTCAGGGGGACTGGATGCTGATCTGGGTTAGGGTTCTGTGAGAGAATGAGAGCGATGGGGTCGAGGGCTTGGAATAGCGACTGAAAAGCTTGGTTTTGTAGGTGGGTTTGTTGCAGAGAGCCGTTAGTCTCTGCCATTGTTGAAGAATTCGGGGTCAGCTGCGTTTTGTTTTCTTCTTCCTTCTTCTCTCTCTAAAATCTCAATCTTTCTCTCTCTAGAATCTGAAATTCGGTCGTTTTTGGGGTGATTTAATAATGGTGTATGTAGTTTGTGAATTCGGTTTTACTTAGTTTGCAATTAAAGGTTTTGTATTTGCAACGGTCGAAAAATGGAAAGAGACTCTGTGTTACCATTTTGCTTGCTCTTTTTCTCGCTTCCAACGTTCTGAATTTTGAATCGCTTTGGATACCCTATCGACGGTCTGATTTGACTGACTTTTCCACGATGACTTTTTAGAGCCGTCTGATATTTTATTCCTAGTGCTGTGTCAGCGGCAGGGGAACTAAAAATTAATCAAGGGAAAGTGGCTAATAATTCAAATATTTGGTTCTAATTTTGCTATGTCAGCGTACTTAACAGAGCTGATGATAAACTTGACGGAGGGGGTAAAATGGGACTTTAAACATCGGTCATGAAGGCAAGATGAGTCACTTTTTCTTTTGGCCAACAAGATGAGATTTGCTCATACTAATAGACTTCCATACACCGGTATTATAAAAGTGTGCATTTAAGGGCTCGTTTGGTATACATGATTGGATTAAAATAAATAACTTATTAAATTAAAGGTAGGTTGAACGAAAAAATATAAAATTATGAGTACCTAAAGAATAAAAGATAAATTACTCACGAAGAAAACTTATCCATTTCAATCTTCATTAAAATGGTTGGATTAGTAGGGATAGCTAATCCTCTTTTAATTCCATCCCGATGAAAAACCAATCACTTCTGCCTTCAATATACCTTGAATTTGAGAGTTCTTCGTTCCAATCCAATCGTGTGTACCAAACGAGCTATTAATCTCTCTATTTTAAGAGGGCAATACATCGATTACGATTTTGGCATATATTGTTAGCTCTTCATATAAGGTGCCATGGCATTAATATTGTGCAAATTACATAACTGTTTCGGAAGAAATGTGTCACACACAAAAGGAATTGTGCAAATTACACTTTGTGGTATTTGTATTTCTGCCTCAAATTGAAACCAGTGATGGTCTGGTCAAATCCATTGAGCACCAGGGTACTTACAGCTTCAACCCCTTGATCCAGTGCTGCATCAATCTGTCCACATATATAGCAGATATTGGTCGCACCTTTAAGATCAAAGGTCGAAATGCACACACGTCGAAATGAACAGGCACCGTAAATTGTGTATGCGTGAACATTTGTACACGAATCATGCGGATGCAACCAATTATTTAGAGACAAAGACATAAACAATTTGAAACAACCATAAACCTGATGTCTGTCTACGGTACTGAATCTCTGTAGAAGATAGGCTTTCATGTCCACAGTTCCCGGTGGATTTCCGATGCCTGAAAACGTAATTCAAATATTTTTTTTGATTTTCCACCAAGGCAAGCAATAGACCTTGTATTGAAACTCGTACTAGGGGCAGTACGAGTTGCGGTAGTTTTGTTTTAGACTTAATAACAAACCATCCTGATTTTCTGGTGGATAAAATACCAACCCATATTAGACGGAGAAAGACCACTCGAACCAATTCAAACCCGTAGTTTCGGGCGGCGTTGGTTTCTCACCGGAAGTGGGATTAGTTTCATTCTATTTGTTGAATGCATACATATTGTAACATACACCACAAAAGCACTACATGACATTCAGTACAAGTAATGGAACCCTTCCTTCACCGGATACAGATTGCAAAAATTTGAGAACATGACTTTTAAGACTTGTTCTTTATGTTACTTCAACCTTTCCTTAAAGTGCAACAGAAATTTAGATTGTGGATTCCCACGTTAATGGCATGGCCAGAACAGAGTTTCATGATATGGCCTTTGGGACATCACAGGGTTTAGGTTTTAAGTACCAAAATTATAAGAGAACACGTATGAGTAGTGGTACTTAAAGAACAGTTATATGAGCCTAAATTGACGCAAAAATGCAAGCAGAAATGATGAGAACAAACCGATTCTCCGCTATAATTCATGTAGGCTTGAGGCTTCACCAACGTAATTGGTACTTCTCCGATGGAACCTGTACTGATCCCGCAAAGCAATCTGAATGAACAACAAAACACAAGAGAATGTGGAGCTGAAAAACAAGGACTGAAGCGCTTAAATACCACTGAAGACCCACCTATTCCAACCAAGGCCCTTGACTGAATTGTATTCATCGCAATGCCTTCTGTTTTAGCAAATACCATCAATCATCTCGAAACCAATCTAATGTGGGGCATTGAAAAACCATTCAACTGAAACAGTTACATTGTGCCTAGTCCCCTCCTCAACCCACTACATTTTGGGTTCAAACCTCCGCCTTCCCCTTAACATAGCTTAGAGTAGTAACATCGCTTGTAACATAAAAACTGGTCAAGTTTCGACATTTTTAATGCCTCAGTTGGCTAAATTTTGAGATTATTTGTTTTTGTTTCCTGGAATTATTGTATCTTTATGGACAAACACACATAATCTTAAGCAGAAAATATGTACGCTCCCAAGAAATAAAAAATAACAGATAAGCTGGGAATAACAAGGATATGATAAATAAATGGAAAGAAAAGTAGAAAGAAGGAATGAAATCACGAAAAAGATAGATACCGAACCCGGCTAAAAATTTTGGAGGTTGAATTTGAAGTTGGGGGAATATGAATGTGAGGAGGTTGCGGAGGGAAGGAGGTGCAGGGAAGTCCTTTATGGTTTGCAGATAGAGGGAGGTGCTTCAGAGATGGTGTAAAATACCAGCAAAACCTCCGGAATTTCACTTTGCGTTGGCCCAATGCACCAACTCATTGGTGGGTTGGGCCTCTAGTGGTCATGATGGATCTTATATAGTGCAAGTACAAATCGAGCGAGTTTTTTTTTTATAATGTATTGGCAGAGTCAGAAATTTATCGAGAAATGTCAATTTTAAGTAACTAAGATTAAAATAGAGAGCATTATATATAAAGACAAAAACTTTCATTATATTTCAAGAAACTCAACCAGTTTTTAAACAATTTTAAAGAGATAAATTAAATATAATTAAATTGTCTGTAAAGGGCATTGATTAGTGAAGTAAAACCGTCACCTCTTCCATCCATCTCTCTCTCGTCACTGACTCTTTTGACTTTTGAAATCTCTCCAATTTTGTTTCTTGATAGCTGATACCGTGCAAATGCGTACCAAAACAAATGGATAGAAGGAGTTAACAAAATCATGCGTTTGTGGGACTATATATGATTTATAAAGAAAAACTTAATGAATCGTATGGTATTTGAAACTGATTTTGTAAAAGTGATTGAAGATGGGTTGAGCTGATTCTGCAAAAATGACTGAGGATGGATCGAACTGATTATGCAAAACTAAATACGCAAAGAGTGGTCAAAGACGGGTTGAACTAATTCTGCAAAAATAGTCCATGACAAGTTGAACTGATGTTGCAAAAATGGTCGAAGACGGTTTGAACTTATTCTATAAAAGGTGGTTGAGGACAGATTGAATTGATTTTGCAAAAAGTGGTCGAAGACGAGTTAAACTGATTCTGAAATAATGGTCGATGACGAGTTGAATAAATTCTGCAAAAATGGTTGAAGATTGGTTGAACTGATTATGCAAAAAATGTCGAAGACGGGTTGAACTGATTCTGCAAAAATGGTCGACGACGGGTTGAACTAATTTTGCAAAAATAGTCGAGGATCGGTTGAATTGATTCTACAAAAATGTTTGATGACAGGTTGAACTAATTCTGCAAAAATGTTTGAGGACAGATTAAACTAATTTTGCAAAGATGGTCGATGACGGGTGTGGAGCCAAAAATAATCAGAAGACGACACATGAATTTTGGGCCAAAAATGACAAAATTACCCTTGAGTAGCACCAGAATTCCCACACGTGAGCAGTGGACAATCATCCCACAATCAAGTCAAAAGTACCCAAAATAGATATTTATTCAAAACCTATTTCATCCATCTTCTCCAAAAGGTAACCCCAAAACATTCATTTTAAATTATGTTAATTAGCTAATTAATAGATTTATTACCTAATTAATCTATTAATGGCTAATTAAATTACCAATTAGCTACAAAATACACTAAAAAACACCACAAAGGGCCGGTCACCTTCTCCCGCAAGGAGGCCTGCCATGCCTTATATATACTACCCCATTTTCTCTAAAAACCTAGGTCTGCACTCTTGCTAAATACTCAAAATTCTCCAAACACTTTTCCCTCAAAATTCTAACTTTGGCATTGGAGGTTTTTCTGCCAAAGCCTCCCATTCATCGAGGGCGCGTGAGGCTATTGGCCTTGACTTAAGGTGTTATTTGTTTTGTAGGTGCAATTTTGTCTAAGAACAAGGAGGAAGAAATTTGCATCCATAAAGTGGTGCTTTCATTGAGAGTTGAGTCCCACACTCGTAGAAGACTCTCGCATCTAAGAGATGGGACCGCGACGATCCAAGAGGCTAAATGTGACAATAAGTGGAGTGGCACCACCACCATGAGTTTCCACCATAGGAACCGTTACGGTGGCTACCACGGTAGTCACTTACAGCGAGGTCCATGATGTCACCACCACGTCTCGAGCCGTGCCATCTAAGGCCCATGGCACCAAGGTCACGGCCCAGGCAAAGTCATTCCACGCCCAACGTGAGCCCAACGCTTTTCCAAGCCGAGTCCAAGCCTCGCACCCGTGTGCGCCACACGTCGAGCAATCCACTCATGTGGCCCAGCTTGCTCTCACCGAACAGCCCACTCTCGCGGCCCACCCTACTCCTGCCGAGCAACCCACTCTTACGGCCTAACCTGCTCCCACCGAACAACCCACTCCCGAGGCCCAACTTGCTCCCGTGGCCTTCTAAGCAGCTCAAATCTGTCCAAGATTAGTTCAACAGTCCCGACTCTAAATTTTTGGATCGACGATCAAACCGGGAGCATTTTCACCACATTTTTCTATGAATTTGACATTTCCCAACTCAAATCTCGCGCTCGGAGTCTACCACACTTCCATTGCTCAATGAGATACATTCCTTCCAAGCTCTTCCAACCTAAATGAAGAACAACACTTGTCTCGACAAGTTATAGAGTTAACGAGTGCCCTTGCATAAAAGACGACCTTGGTGAATCAGCTCTTGCAGCTCACCGAGATGCAATGTGCCCCTGACGAGGGGTCTCAAAGTAGGACAAGGGTAGACGAAGAATCTCTCCAGCAGCGTCCCAGCAACCAGCCACTTGACCAGTCACGAACCGAGCGTTCTAATTGAGTACATTAGGGACTGGGCCCCCGAGATAGCGTATACTCCCGTCTTAACGGGTGGAGGAGCGTGCATTCTCAGTTAGGCCCACATAAAAACATACATTCATGGTTGGGGCCACACTCCGATAATCGACATGAGCAACCTTCCAGGTAAAGTATTCATTTGTGGCAAGGCCCGCAAGGAGCATCCTCCACCTTACATCAAAATAGGCAGCACAACGGACTAAGAGAAGCAGTCACTCAATCCAGCTCAAGTTCAACCAGTAACCTGCGAGTTACCTGCTCGTTTGCTAGGAACATACCACATGCACTGCAGCTGCGCCGTAGATGAGCCGAACACATGGATGAGCAGCCTAGACTAGCATGTCACGACCGGGGGTAGCCGAGAACTCTGCCAACTTAATAAAGGAAAATTCAGGAAGAAGTAGAAAAGCTCATGACCGAGCGATTGCACGATTTCCTGTACAACGAACCTATTGACAAGACGCTCCGATGAGACATGACCAACATAAACGAGTCATATTTCAATGACAAGATCGATGAGACATTACTACCCCACATAGATTGTCGAATACAAAGACTACTTCTGTTTCGACAAACGCAGCAGCTCAGCCTAATGGCGCGCCAGGGGTAGACGAGTACTAGAAGGACACACCAGCCCAACTACCAAGAACCGGGGGTAGGCCTTATTCTCAACATTCCAGACGATTCAATACTGAAGTAGTACATCATCAGTAGCTGAGCATCACGGACCTAGTGGTCCAATCCCTCTTGCTGCGCATAACCTGGCCCAAGCCCTGCTTTCACAACTGTGCCTACCTGTTCCATGGCTCTCGGTAGCCATTGACCTATCACCATGACTCATAACTGTGCCAATCTTGCATCACAGCTCCCAGTCGTGCCAATTTTTCCATGTTACTCGCGTCAACCAAGCCTCAAAAGGGCACATGACAAAACACCTAATGATGGTGAAATAATTCTGGGAGCAGCTCATTGCGCTTACACCCTTACATGGGTTCCACAAGCAGTTCGAAGTCTCAAGCAGTTCACCAAAAAAGACCTCGTAGGCTGAGGATTATTTTAGTTGTCCAACAGTCCAGCTTTCCTTAACTACTTTCCACAACAACTGCTCAAAACCCTTTATGGGTATGCTCTCCAGTGCGAGAGGATAAACTAATTACTCTCCAGTGCGAGAGGGTAAATCAATTCCGCGACACCCATA